GTCATGAATAGCATCAGCCACAAAACCAGCAGGGGCAGAAGCTGGCCTGGGGCACTAGTCACCCGTACGCCAAGCACCGACGCTTGCACAAGCGGGAGGACAATGACACACACCTCTGACGTTCTTCTGACACAACCGAAACAGCCTCCTAAGGCAGGTACCGCCACAGAGCGCTGGATGTGAGACAGAAACTGCAGATAAAGCTTCTCGGGCAGCAGCTCCAGCGCCAGGAACTCATGGCCCAGCCCCACCTACCCCTCCACAGCCAGGCGACACGCTCAAGGCGTGCTGGTGCTTGCCCCTAACGAGCAGATCACAATCTCTCTACTCACCAGCTCCAAACTCCAACCCGGCTGCACCCCAGGGATATCCTCCCTGTGCCCCTCACCAGCTCTGAGCCGCCTGGCCCCAAAAACCAAACCCCAGGTGGGGTTTGCAGAGGCACAGCCAGGCAGCAGCAGAGCTCCCAGCATCTTGGAGGAGGTGCTCCAGAGCAGCCCAAAATGCCGGGCGCCCCGTTCCAGGGTGGAGAGGCAGGGGGTGTTTCAGATGAGGCATGGATCCTTCCCCACGTGCAATTTTGGGGCAGCATGGTGAGGAGTCACCTCTCTCCACCACTACTCCAAAGGAGCCTCTGGTGTTTGCAGCCACTCTTTGCACCGTTCAGCATTGATCTGTACCTGCTGACCAGCCACAGCAGCACCTGGGTTTCCTTCCCAAACTGCTCCTGTCCCATGGAACACAGGGGGACGGTGTCAGCATCGTACCCATCTGCAGCTCCAGACCTGCTGCCATCACCTCCAAGCCTGAAGCCACCACCTTCCACTGCGCAGTGGATGGGGGCTGCTCTGGTTGGGGCATGAGCAGAACTGCACAGTGCTCATCTGAATCGTGTCCAGTATTTCCTCCAACAACTGAAACGGGCTCATTCACCAAAATATGAGGTTTTTCTTCAACTTACCATATTTAGCTTCCATTAAGGGAGGTAAAGAACTCTCTTCGTTACAGGACTAGGCAGTAAGTACCCCAGCAGAGGGGAACTTCCCTCTGCTCCCAGAGGTGTCACACGAGAGGAGCTATACCCGGCACTAAAAGGCCAAAGAGAATTGTATTCAAAATGGGCCTTTTTTCATGCGTCCCCCCTCTCGCACGCTACTGTTTCAGTGCTGCTAAAAACATTACACAACTCGCTTATTTAAAAGCCTGGTTGGGTCCTGCCAACCTTTAAGACTCCTCTGCCCAAAATGCCAAGTTATATATAATAAAGGTCAGGTCAGATGCACACAATGAGTAATACTATGACAGACTGTCTTGCTCTTTTTCTTTTTTTCCCCTTTTTATTTTTTTAAATAGCAACTAGCTTCAGAAGAAAAGCCTCGGAGCAGACTACAGGCCCTCCAAGATCCATTCCTGCTGAAGCTGGTTGCCTTTCCTCCTGTGTCTGACAGTAAAGCTCCACAGCCCTTTGCACGCTCACGACTGAGAGGACAAGCCTTTCCTTCTGGACAATGTTAATTTACTCGTGTGCTCGTTTTTCTCAGCGCAGCAATTAGTTCTGTTGTTTTCCTTATTCCCGGCACACGTGTGCACATAGAATCACAGAATCACATGGGGTTGGAAGGGACCTCTGGAGATCATCTAGTCCAACCCCCCTGCCAAAGCAGGTCCACCCAGAGCAGGTTGCACAGGAACATGTCCAGGTGGGGTTTGAATGTCTCCAGAGAAGGAGACCCCACCACCTCCCTGGGCAGCCTCTTCCAGGGCTCTGCCACCCTCAAAGTCAAGGAGTTCCTCCTCGTGTTTAGGTGGAACTTCTTATGTTCAAGTTTGTGCCCATTTCCTCTTGTCCTGTCCCTGGGCACCACTGAAAAAAGACCAGTCCCATCCTCTTGACACCCACCCTTTCAGTATTTATAAGCATTGATCAGATCCCCCCTCAGCCTTCTCTTCTCCAGACTAAAAAGACCCAAGTCCCTCAGCCTCTCCTCATAAGGGAGATGCTCCACAACCCTGTGTAAGAGCACCCGCATCATCCCTGTATCATCTTGTGTAAAAGGATTTCTAAGGAAGGTTTCTTTTAGATACGTTCTTACCATTTAATCCATTTACCTCCTGCGTAGACCAGGGCTGTGGCATCGGGTCTTTCGGCATCACCTTCGCTTTTGCTGCTGCTGTTACTTGGTAGCTCTTTACACTGGCAGGAATGAACACCAGAGTTTCTTAAAATATTAGATACAAGAAACCACAAATTTTACAATGTAAAAACAAAAAAAGACTATTCCACTTCGGCAGGGTAAAGAGCAGCTGAATGGACTAGGTGACCCTTGGATGCCTCCTGCTCCTCAGCAGATTATTGCAGTCAAGCCAATCAATTTACATCCTTAGTTTTTTATCCTAAAACATGCCCAAGCGCAGGTGAAGAGGTGTAAATTTCACTCCAGGCACAGGCAGCATTTCACAGACACTTAAAAAAAAATAATATAGAAAGCAATGAATGTCCAAGTCTGAAGACAAAAATTCAGACTCCTTATCCCAGGAGCCAGCGCTGGCAAGAGACCGGCCACGGGCACAAACACGGAGCTCAGACGTCATCAAAGGGTGGGCAGAAAACAGCCAAGATACTTTCTAGTATCTACTACAATAATTTGCAACTGGGGGAAGGGGGGGAGAAAAATCAGTACTCTGACTCTTTTCCAGCTGCATCTGCTAACAGATCCAGGAATTCTTCTATCAATTCAGAGAAATTACAGGGGGAAAAAAATAAATAAATCACAATACAATCCATAATCTGCTTCTACTTAAACATTAACCAGCAAGTACGATAACCACTGTTTCATTTGCATTAAGAGATTAGCTAAAGCGTTTCCCCCCCCCCCCACACCCACCCCAGGGGGAAAGCCCCACATAAAAACAAGGTTTCTGCATGTAATTTTCATAATCTGCCTGTTAGAGATCATAAAACTCAACGCTCATTAATCCACTCACTCTTTTTTTTTTTTTTTGAACTTCATTTTAAACTGAGTAACCATGCTTGACCCTCACAGATTGCTCGTTATCTACAGGAAGTTCAGCTGCATCAAACCTGAAAGGAAAGCAGCCTAATTTATCTTAAGATAACAGCAGCAGTTTAGGTACAGAGGCTAAAATTAGCAGGCTTTAACTAAAACCTCCAGAAAAGAGACTTTTCCCTTTCCTTTAATACTTCCAGCAAACCAGCTATGAAGTACAGGCAAAGAGTGTGCAAAATGTGAACTTGGCTGAAGCAAATAAGTACTTATTTCTCCAATAACAGCATCTCGGACAAAGCAGCAGCTGCCCACAGAGCCTTGCCAGAGAGACACTTATAAAAGCTTCTAAAAAAAAAGAAAAAACGAGAGGGTTAAGTCTACCACAAACAAAAAAAAGTACCTAAAATATACAGAGGCAGCCCGTATTTAATCACTGCTTTAAGGTCTTCAGAGTGCAGCAGTCCTGGGAGAAGTACTAAGTTACTCCCCAGTTTGATACCACGAGAAGTCTCAGTCCCAGCTGGTTCAACTGGGCCAAGACCCACGGAGCCATGAGGGTGTCCTCCAGCCTCCACCGATGGCTCAACTGCCACCAGTTCAACACGCTTGGTCACCCTTGTTTTAAACAGTTACTCAAAGGCAGAAGTGGCTTCTCAATCCACGACTACATTTATTTCTAATTTAGTCTTAAAACTCCTGTACACTTATACTCCCAGTTTATTAATCCCTCCTGACCGTAAGAAAACCTGCTGCTACAATATTTGCCAAGAAGAAAAACCTATTTTCTGTCACCCTCGAAGGCCCACAGTGAAAGAAAATTAAACACATAGACTTGAAGCCGCACCGTATATTTGTAAATAAAAATAATTTGACAGAACAAGATTACAAAGTACGAAACGAGCCCTTTCAGGAATTTGTTAAGTACAAGAGAAGTCGATGTTAAATCCGTTTTGTAAAGTTTAAAACAGATACCACCGAGGGATAGGAGTATTGCCATAAAACTCGCTTCTTTTTTAATGCTTTCTTAAAAAGCTGGGACCATGTACATCAGACCCAGATGAGAAATCCCAGGCGCGCGCATCGGTTTGGTTACAGCTTCAGGGATCAGTGCAGCACAGTGCAATTTCCATTCACAGATAAAAAGATATTTCAAATAAGTACAAGAACATTCCGCAAAACACAGGATGTGATCTACCTGGCGCCTCTTTCCACCCCCTAAAAAGTGCTGGAAAGTAAGCACAACATACAGAAACACGGGGAAAAAGCACACAAGGAGATGGGTTCTTTAACAAGACAAGTTAATATTTGACAGCTTAAGAGGGAACGATTGCATGAGGAAGAAAATGACTGTTAGTCATTAGAAGGTATGCACAAGGGAGGTTTGTACTTTGATTCCGTAGGAAAAACCTGAAGCTGACAAGCCTCCATTCCTGAAACATAAATATTGAGTAAGAGAGGTACAAAAAGTAAGCACTATCACCTGAAAGTGCCTTCTCAGAGCGGACTGTTTGTCCCTGCTGCAGGTCATCATTCCCTCATCATTCAAGAAGTATCTGCAGCTACTTCCTTCAGCCAGCCTTTGATTCTATACAATTGTTTATTGCTTATCTGGCAATTTTACAGAACCTTCCTCCTCCCTAGTCTTCACCAGAACACATTTTCCCCTTTTAATGTTTATTTCAGAGTAGATTAAATACTCTTCAGTGCTTTAAAAAACAAAACAAAACAAAACACCAAAAAACCACCAACCACAAAACCCCCTTGTTTTTAGAAATCACCCAAGCTAAAAACATTAATTCCATTTTCACCTGAAGCAATGTTATGGCAGACTACTGATGCGGAGTGCCTCCCCTAAAGATGCTAAGTGCATCTTTAGCCACCAGAAATCTCATGGAGGGCTACGGCTTTGAAGCGCTCTGCTCATTTTTATAAAAATAAAACAAAAAATATGACTGACATTTACAGCATACAGAATGGGAGACTAGTGCAATATGCAGCATTGATTGTTTATTCAATAAATATTTAACCCAATTATTGCCAACCAAGGCAAACAGTGCAGAAATTGTCACTTAAAGAGATACAAAAGTTTAACTTTTTTTTTTTTTGTATAAAGTCAGTTGCTACTATATTCATACAACTATTTCAAAGAGGTTTTTCTGCTTCAAAATCAACGCTACCATTATAAAAATATAGAAACATAGCATTTGGGGGTTTAACACATCTTTGCAAGTCTAACTCTTACATTTAGATAGGAATATGACATTTCTGTATTCAAGAACTTATTAAAAGTAAAAATGAATACTATGATAGAGACATTTTCTGCACTGACGATTTCATTACAGTTCTTAAATACATCTTTCTTGGTCCTGGGTATACATTTAGAAAGAAATAACTTGCATCTCACATTTATCCTGAGGTCAGCTGTGTAAAAAGGAAAGCCAATTTTATAAGGATAGTTGCAGGCTTTTTTGTTCAGAATAGGAGGTTATTTTTAAACAAGACAATAAAACTCTGGGGGAAAAAAAAAAAACAACCAACCTTCTCACCCATGTTTTAAGAAACAATTTAGTGTCATTTGGGGGAATTATTTCAAAAAAATACATAGGCCATCACATCCAAATGCTCTATCACCCAACTAAAATTTCCATATGCATTTGCCAAATTTGAAACTTAAGAAACTGTTCTGAAAAGAAAACATAAAAATCCCTGTGAAGAGTCACCCTGAGCTTCTCATCTCAAGATCCCGACCCGCAAAGTGACTCCTGCCAGAGGAACCCCACTCAAGCCCGGGGGAATCTGGGGAGTCTTGGGGTCTGCCTGCACAGGTGGGGATGTGAGGTTTGGGTCCCCGTCACCCACCGCCGGGTACAGTTATGACCTTGTCAAAGCTCCACTTTGAACACAGCCGTTATTTTCAATAGCACCAACAATCTCTCAGATACCAGCATCAGGCAAACACGGACGACACAGAATAGGTTTGTTTTTTCCTGAATCAGCACAATCGGTACAAGGCACTGCTTGGCATAGGAAGTCATAAATAAGAGCAAAACGAGACGAGTTCTAAGGTTTGTGACATTTAAGTTTGTAAGTTATGTCACATTTCAACTTATTTTATACCATGGTTAGAAAAACAAGATGGTCTCAGGGATCAGCCAAAAACATCACTGTTCCGTGCGTGTTTACAGTTTTCCTCTCCATATGCGAAAAAACCCACATAACATACCAACATGAAGCATTGGGAAGTATGGGCTGTTAAATTAAGAAAGTACATTTTATTCTCCAATCTTCCACAGAAGTCTAAACTAGACACAACTCAAGTATAAGAAGTTGGAAAATATTCTGATAACATTTGCAACAGTCTATCCCTGCAGAGGAGTGGAAAAAAACAAACTATTGTCTAGAGAATTCATAGATTGAGGCACATGGCAATCGAAGATATTCAGGCATATTTTATGGCTAAGAACAGGATTTTTCTGAGGAACCTCACTACAGACTTCCCCAAAAGCAGCTCCATATGGTTCGAGACACAAATTGCAACACATGGAAGAAAAACGTTTGGTCCTTAATCGCTACTGTCCTCATCGTCGTCATCGTCGGATACGTCATTTAAAGACGATTTAGGCGACTGGCTGTAGGAGTCTGACCTAGTGGACTGACAAGCAGTCATCTCCCCGCTGGAAAGGAGATCGTAGCAGAAGTCGCAGATTCGCACAGGTTTGGAAGACTGGCTGGGGAGGAGAAACCTCTTTTCCGAGCAGGGCCCGCAGACAACAAAGCCGCACTTGCGGCAGTGGTGACGCCGGTTGACGGGGGTGAATTTGGCTTTCTGGCAGCGCATGCACACCGTGGCCTCCGAGTCCGGCACCCAGACAGCTGCGTGGTCATTGCTGGGAGTCTTCCCACTTTTGGAAAGCAAATCAGAAACGCACTTGTTGATGTGGTTCATCCACTCGGACTTCTCCGTAGCGGTGGCAGCGTACACTGCGAACGACTTGGTGGGCGTCTTGATCAGCCACCCGTTCCGTAAGTCTCCCTCATCCTGGATGGAATCGATAGTGACGTTTTCCAGGGGGATTATGTGCTGTTTGTTGTATTTCTTCTTCTGGATGACGATGTTACCGTAGACAAGAATGTCATTGAAGAGGAAGAACTGCCTCGCTTTGGGCTTCTTCCTACACAGCTTTGTCAGTACTCCCTCTCCGATCAGAACACGGCCGGGAATAGTCAGGGGCTGACCGGCTGCTCCAAAGCAGTTTTCCACGATACTGATCCTTCTAGTATTTGCCTCGCTGTTTGCCAAGCGATCCACCATCTTTCACGAGTAGCCTAAAATTAGGAAAAAAAAATAAAAGGTTTGTTGTTAGAACAGGACCGATTCAACAGCAGCCTTCCCCAAGGAAGGTACCAACCCCGCATTTCTTAAAATATCTCACAGAACCTGCTGGCTCAGAGGCACCGACTTGGGTTAGATTTAAATAAGTATTAACACCTAAGAATTTTTAGCAGCCGATTAGTCTTTTTTTTTTTTTCAAAAGCAAAAATGTTCCATCCAGCTGACAGCTATCTTTATCACCCAGCCAGCACCCACAGCTCTGCTCGAGAGCCTCTGGCAAGCGGCTGGGAGGGTTCCTCTCTAGTAAGGTTACTGCATCCCCCCTCAATGCTCATATTTCTCTGTATATCCTCCTGCACCTGCTCTCCGGGTGGCAAAAGGAAGTTATCATCCATCACTCCAAGTTCTAATACCGACAGAAATATCAATTTAACTGAGCAGCTCGGAGACCCACGTTAACACGACAAACAAAAGTTATATAATTGACATTCACACAGGAAATCACCATACCCAAACTCAGTACTGCCCATTATTCAGTACGTAAACCTTCAATCATAGGCCAAAACCATGAACTAGAGACATTTTGTACAGGCCACAGCTTGCACACACACACATACACCCCCCACCTGCTTCAATGGCAAACCGTGGAGCCAGGAGCAGGGAGAGAGCCGTGGCTGGTGGCCCATCACCTGACTTATTTTGGCAGGGCCCCCACAGTCCCTCCCTCCATCCCTCCTCGAGCCACATCTGCATCCATCACCATCAGGCGATGTACACAGGCAGCTCGGCACAGAGGACACGTCACACCGCTCCCAACTGCTCCCCAGAAAGATTAAATGACCTGCACCATCTGGGGGCTGACCTGCTGGAGAGCACCTCTGAGGAGAAAGACCTAGGAGTCCTGGTGGACATCAGGATGACCATGAGCCGACAACGTGCCCTTGTGGCCAAGAAGGCCAGTGGCATCCTGGGGGGCATCAGCAGGTTGAGAGAGGTTATTGTTCCCCTCTACTCTGCCCTGGTGAGGCCGCATCTGGAGCATTGTGTCCAGTTCTGGGCTCCCCAGTTCAAGAAGGACAGGGAACTGCTGGAGAGGGTACAGCAGAGGACCAGTGAAATTCAGGGTACAGCAGAGGACCACAAAGATGATGAGGGGCCTGGAGCACCTCCCTTACGAGGAGAGGCTGAGGGACTTCGGTCATTTATGTCTAGAGAAGAGAAGACTTGAGGGGGGATCTGATCAATGCTTATAAATACTGAAAGGGAGGGTGTCAAGAGGATGGGGCTGATCTTTTTTCAGTGATGCCCAGGGATAGGAGAAGAGGAAATGGGCACAAACTTGAATATTTGAAGTTCCACCTAAACATGAGGAGGAACTTCTTGACTTTGAGGGTGGCAGAGCCCTGGAAGAGGCTGCCCAGGGAGGTGGTGGAGTTTCCTTCTCTGGAGACATTCAAACCCCGCCTGGAGACGTTCCTGTGCAACCTGCTCTGGGTGGACCTGCTTTGGCAGGGGGTTGGACTAGATGATCTCCAGAGGTCCCTTCCAACCCCATGGGATTCTGTGGAAGTTTAGGCAAGAAGGCTTTGTGTCTCGGGAACGGATGTTGCAATTACAGATTAAATCTGCCCCTCAGCCCTCCCCGAGTAGCAAATAAGATTTTCTCCTGTAAGAGTAAGTTTCCTAAGGCATCCAACGGGGAACTGAAACTAAGAAGTTACTATACTGATTCATACCTTGGCAAGCCACTCTTCAGCCTGTCTTTTACCCTAGAGCTTCCCAGGCAGAAGCCAGGCAGAGGGAACTCCTGCCAGTCTGATCCAGATCTGCTCCCCGCGAGCTCCTCCTGAGCACAGCCATGAACCCAAACCCTGTGCTTGATGGAGAGGTGAGCACTAAGGGCAGACCTGTCTCGCAGCAGACAGTCTCCTGTGCCTGCTTTTCCAGCCACCGCAGGGCTGACACCCACAACACCCTTTGGTACAACCACTGCTTTGAACAGGTCTGAGGGAGAGCAAACACTCCGGTGCCTATTACCTGCATTTCCCAACACAATCCCAGTTTGGGAAGTCACCTACACTCACCTATCTTCTCTTGTAGATCTACCCTGCCTGCCATCAATCCAGCATCAGCCTATAACCAAGACAAAACTGGGCTGAAACAAGGCTCAAACTCACACACTCGGCCATAACCTGGACCAGTCAATCCTCCTCCGACAAATCAAACCTCCAATACTGCCTTATAAAATAGGGATGAAACTTCTGATCATGAAGGACAATTTTGCAACCTCACCGATAGGTGCAAGTATCAGCCCAAAAGGATGTGGCGGGGTGTTGTGTTTTTAGTTTTGGTGGTGGTGTGGGGTTGGTTTTTTTTTTTTGGCTTTTTTTTTTTTTTTAAGGTTGGACTCGATCTCAGAGGTCCCTTCCAACCATGGTGATTCTGTGATTCTGGACAGAAATTTGGTGGCAGAAAAACCTCACAGCAGGCCTCATCTAAGTAAGTGTGTTACCTGTGATTACACAAATCCACGTGCTCCATGTTAAATGTGATTAAAAAATAACTTATAAGTTACTGCTTTGAGAGCTTAATTAGTTTCACACTAAAATAGTTTGACAAGCTGGCTTGCTCAGATATAACTAAACTGACTTTTTTTTTTAAGCTCTGTACATGACATTATCTTTTATCAGAAGTCTGACACTGAAGACAGAAGAGTCTATTAAAGATATTACTCAGCACTACTCTGGCATTTTCTTTATGTGCCTTACAGCATTAATTACAATACGTGAGTATCATGTTAACCAGTTTTACGGTTAGTGGAATGACAAAGCCACCAAATCTGAAATTATTTTGATCTGCAGAAGGTCAAGACAAACTGCCTTATAAAAAGGGTTCAAGAGATTTAATTGTGCTGCATCGAGGCACACAAGCGACTACACCTATGCTATTTCTACCAGGTGCCAATCAAAAAAAAAAAAAAAGGTTGACCTTCTCCATTACCCTCTCCAGCAGCTCCCCATTTCATCACTTAGAAAGTATTTTCTTAACAGCAAGCTTAAGGCATCTTTGCTGCAAAACAGTTTTCTTTTTGTTCTTCAATCAGAATAACCATCACTACCTTCTTCATTAAGCTGAGAGAAGACTGGTAGTTCAAGTGGGGAAAAAAAACCCCCAACAACCCCCCCCTGTTATTTCCATCTCCTTCATCAGCCCTACTTTTCTGAACCATTAGTCTTGTCAAGGTTCTCGAAGCTTTGTCCATCATTCCCTCAAAGAGATGCCCACAAGTGGACACTGTACTAAATCCCTAAATCCTTCTGCAATACCAAACTCAGGGCGATACAGTTCTGCTTTGTTTCCTTCTGAGGCAATACCAATTTGTGATCCCCACCCCGCTCCCTGCTTCCTCGTGCCATTCAAAAAAGCTTCACGGTGAATTAGATCAGGGCCGATCAAGTTGAGAACAAACTGGAAAGTTTTGGGGCTCAGGTTGGCAGGACAGCTGCAGTGGAGGGAGAGGATGGAGGGATGGGGAGGGAGGTGCTCGGACAATGCCTTCCATAGAAATTACACTGGCTTAAACTGATGAGTAACCAGAAGTACTACCATATTTTTTTTTCCTCCTAGAGAACAGCAGAAGACTCAAATTACATCAATACGATTCTTTTTTTTTTTTTCTGATGCTATGAATATGCATATCCAAAATATACCTTTCAATAGACACCTTATTTCTTTCAATCATTCAGGACACACTATACCCTCCTTTTACATGTTTTATTCAGCATTAAGATCTAGCCACTCCCCGTACCCCCTTTTTTTTTTAAAATATATATCTTCCAACTACCTCCTACCCCATGGCAAGGAGTCCCAACACTGGCACTTGGGAGGGAGTTTTTCAGGCAAGTGAGTGGCTTCACTTCCACTATAGCCTTGTCTAATGGAGAGATGCCATCCCACAGAAAATAGCTGGGACAAGCCAACAGCATCTACCAACGAGAAAGTACTAAGGAGGGAATGCAAAAGATAAAACCAGGAACTTTTTGGTGTGCATCTGCTGTAGCCCTAGGCTCAAAGATCAAATTCAGGTGTCTGACTCCCAAGAGCAGGATTTGAAATGAGGGTTAATTGCCATTAACTGCCATAACCATTCCTACCTAACAACGTACTAGCAATAAACAGCCTTCACGAGTGCCCAAGCTGAGCCAACAGCTGCTTCGGAGTTAGAAAGCAAGGAGTCAGTCACAGGGTCAATGAGAAGTTATCCAGTAATCCCGGGTGCCCTGTGGAGCGGGGAAGGGAGCCTGTCAGCAGAGTGCAAAGGGGATGGACCAGAAGAACACCCTTTTCTGTGGGTGCAAATCAACACGTCCTACCTCTAAACTTACACTTTTATACGAATATCTGCAAATTACAGCAAGTTAATGGCTTTTGCTACTCCACAAGAGGGACACCCCCCCAAAAAAAAAAAAACCCAAAACCTCTCCACAATCATACTGATGAGTTCCAGTGAGGCAAGTTCTTGGTGTGAAGTTCCAGTGACCTGTAGGAAGCAGTCCCTGCTCCGCAGCTCCAGCCCAGGCTCTCTGTGCTCCCTGCCAACACGCAGCCAACTCGGATCAAGGTCACCACCAAAGCTTTCAAAATACAAGTCACTGGGAGAAGAAAACGGGGGGAGAAGAGGCTAAAGGTTTTAATTAACTGTTCTCTAGGACGACCTAAGAGAAAACAACTCTTAACCAGGATCATTTAATAATCAGCATGGCTTGAAACCAAGACACATGACTCCGGAACTTGTGCCGAAGACTGTACTTTCAGCTTGTTGTGAAAATAATCACTTTCTGGATTTAAAGCAAGAATCCAGGGCAAGTTAAGGACTATTAAGAGAGACAAGATAATCACATCTCTTCTGGAGTGAAACTTCTGTCTGTAATATTCAAAAACTTCTTGCCCACCAGCCTCAATTAAGGTCATAAAAGCCACAGATTGCTGATGG